CCTGACTGCGCCGTGGAGTCGCAGAGGGACAGGTCACTGCATGGCTTCTGGGAGCCGTGACGCAGTCTCCCCCCACCAAGAGATTGGCTCCTTAGGTGACTAGAGAGGGCGGTGTCAGGCGGGGTGAAGGCTGTGTTTGTGGGTGCTGTCCCTATTGCGGCACCCAGGACACACCCTCGGTGTGGAGCCGGCCCTGGGAGAGCTGAGGGTGTGTGCTGGGGCCAGTCCTGGGCTCCCAGCACCAGGGCAGGCAGGTTCAGGGCCACAGGCTGCAGCTGGACCCGGCTCTCTGCCCTGACGCTCTGGCTGTGAGCCCTTTCCTCCTCTGTAACGGGAGACTAAGGGCAGCCCTGAGGACTGAATGGGTGCCGGGTGCCCAGTGCCCAGGACAGGGTGGGTGGCTAGGGGTTGGCTGGGGATGTCCTTACAGGCCTCGGTCACATCCTAGCTCTGCCTGCTCTTGCAGGGTGACCTAGTTGGGGTGGCTCTCCCTGTCTTGGCCCAGCTTTCTTACCTGGAAGACGGCATCGCGCTGGCGCTGTCCAGGGCTCAGCTCTCGGGCTCCAAGGACAGCCTGTTTGACAGACGTCCTGCAGCAAGGCTGGCCCTTGGATATGGACCTCTGAGAACCTCTGGTGTCTGCCTGTGGGCACGAGGGACAAGCACTCGTGCGGCCTGCGATCCTACCTGAGCTCTGGGTGAGTCCCTCCCGGCCTGCAGGACCCTGGCCGCTCACCCCTCCAGGCGCACCGCGTCTCCCCCAGTCCCCCGCTTGGTCCTGCTTCTTGGGCTACAGCGCCACCTGCTGGCCCATGGCGACATGGCACGCCGCTCGGCGAGCAGCCCGCACAGGCCGAGAGCGAGGATCCGCGCTGGGCGGTGTGCAGAGCGCTCCACGTGCCCACGGGCCGGGGTCGGCCTCCTGGCCTCCACTTTACAGACAGAGACAGAGGTCACGGAGGTCACACACAGCCATCTGCGAAGCTGCGTCGGTACCCACGCTTCTCTTTCACCTCCGCTCCAAACAGGCTCTTGGGGCTGGGGTCCTGTTCCAGATCCCCACCCAGGGACCCCCCCTTCCGTTACTCAGAGAGGGACCCGCCCCTCAAGGGGCGCAAGCTTGGGAGAAGTCGTCGGTCCTCCTCCCAGAGTCCAGGTGCAGGAGGAGGATCGCTGGGCCGGGAGTCATCCC